TCTTCTCCAAGGGATAATTCAAACGTTTGTGAGAATTGAGGTTCGACTCGGATCAGGTTGGGTCTCTTATAGATTATATTCGATCGGGTTTGGATTTAAAGTGAAATATATCCGACCCAACCGGAAAAATTATAATTTTACCTTATATATTTATAGATAATTGAAATAGGGACTCTTTATATATTATTTTTTTTCAATTAAATCTATGTTTTTATTAAATAAACTAATATTTTTATAAATATATTATTTCGGATCTGGTCGGGTCAAATTTTATCTCAAAAGGGCGGGTTTGGTGGGGTGTATAGTTTTTGGGTCGAGTTCATATCATGTGGAGGATGTATAATTTTCGGGTCGGTTGAGTTGACCGAAAATCCAACCCGACTCATGCTCATCCCTATTCCTATTAAATCTAAAACTCATGATCTAAGAGAATATGAGAGAACAAAGATGAGTAACTTAGTCACTCAACCAGATGTACTTGTTCATGAACAAATATTATTTTTGAAAATATTATTTTTGAATAATATATGTATATTACAAGAGTTGAACGATTAACCATGAGCTAAATTATAAGACGCAAAGATTAATTATCAACATTTAAGCATCATAAGGAGTATTAGGTGTCAACTAGTGCATGTTTCTCTCACAAATTAAACAGTGTCTTAACATTGAAACCAGATTTTCAATGTCTGCCACTGCCCACCTTTGCTATGCAATAAAGCAAGAAAAGGTTTTTTCGTGGGCCAAGGAAGCAAATTAATTCAAGGGTAAACTACTCATTTAGTATTTAAACTATCAATTTTGATCCGTTTTAGTACCTTAACTTTCAATTTTTTCAAAACCTTACTTAATGTTTAGTTTTCATTTCATTTTAGCATTCTGCCGTTAAAAATTAATGTGTTTAGTACCTAAACTATCAATTTTAATCCGTTTTGGTACTTAAACTTTTAATTTTTTTAGAACTTACCGTTAGATTTTGAATTGGGGTACTAAAATGAAATAAAAACTAAACTTTCGGTATGATTTTAAAATATTAAAAATTTAGATATTAAAATGGACTAAAACTGATAGTTTAAGTATTAAACACACCCTTAATTCAATTAACCATGAAAACAACTATCCCCGGGTAAAATATACTAGAGATCATTAAATTATGTTCAAATGATTATTTTAATCACTAAATTTTGAAAAGTTATAAAGATATTGCCCCACTTGACATTGCTTTCTGTTCCTATTAAAGACTTCAACTTTGAGATTCCATTGTTCAAATCTCACAAAAACACATATGTATACCAATTTTTTTAATTTAAAAATAATAATTAAAAGAAAATGAGCTAAACCAAACGTGTCACCAAAGTCGACTTGCCCATTTCAAAAATGACATGAGCGATATGAGTATAGACATTCGATTAATTCGGTGGTCGAACCGACTTAACTACCATTAACCGAATTAATCGAATTTTTTTTTCTTTAACCGTTAACCGAACCGAATTTTTTTCGAAAATATTAACCAAACCGAATAATTTTCGGTTAATTTTCGAATTAACCGAATTTTTTTGAAATTTTCCAATTTATATAAAAATTAAATATTTTATAATTAAAAAATAGTTTATAATTGATTTAAATAATATATAATAATAAAATAAAATTTTATATAATTTTTTAATTAATTAATATTGATTTAGGTTTAAAAGTTATTGGATCTTAAATTATTAATTAGGTTTTAGATGGTTTGGGCTGAGCCTATATGTTATATATAATATATTTAATATTTTTTAATTCAGAAAAACAGTTTATAATTAATTTAAATAATATATAATTATAAATTAAAAAATTTATATAAAATATTAATTAGTTAATATTGATTTAGGTTTAAAATTTATTGGATCTTAAATTATTAATTGGGTTTTAAATGGTTTGGGTTGAGCCCATATGTTATATAAAATATATTTAAAATTTTATTTCGGTTAATTAACCGATTTCGAACCGAATTAACAGTTAACCGAATATCCAAAAAAACCTTAACTGTTCCCCGACCGAATTAATTCGGTACCCGATCGAATTAATCGAATTAGTTCGGTTCGATCGATTAATTCGGTTAAAACCGAATTTTGAACACCCTAACTGAGGATAGGCTCTCGCTTATTCCTCTCAATTATATATATATTATTTTAATAATTCGAGAATAAGAGAATAAATATATTCAAATTTTCTCTCGGTATTACATCAAGTTAAATTTTGTTATTGATCTTTGTATTATTTATAAGTTATGAATTTGATTCTCGTACTCTAACTTAATTAATTTTAGTTCGTATGTTTTAAAATTTCAGTTATGATCTAAATGATATAGGAACCCAAAATGATCATTTTAAAAATAAAAAAAATAGAAACTAGATGTACAACTAACGCATAGTATTTAGGAATGGTAAGAGAATTTGACCTAATGAATTTAACTACTGCAGTTGGAGTTAAGACCGAAATTTCAGAGCTTGAAAAGTATATAGACTAGAAATGATCAAATTAAAATATAAAGACTAAATTTATAAATTGTACATAAAAATGAACTATTAATAATTTTTTATTTTACTTCCCCCCCCCCCAAACTCTAAGTGCTATTATTTTTTTTAGCACTTATGAAAGCAAGCTTGGTTGGGGTGTTAATTGCATTTATATGGACATTTTTTTTATATTAACTACATCATATGAATATGTACATAAAAAATAATGATAAAAGTAAATAAAAATAATATATTATTCACTTTGATCAGCTCAGTTGGTAGAGTACAAGGCTCTTAACTTTGTGGTCGTGTGATCGAGTCCCACGGAGGGCAATTCATAATTTGAAGGTCTCTCACGGAAGTAGCTCTCAACCTGACGTTGGGGGCAACCTACTATACTACCTCTCCCTTATCCCATTACATATGGGAATAAGGATCAATTAATTTAATTTAAATTTTGATCAAAGTCATGATGGGTAACTTTGATCTTTGAGATATATGATGAGTTACCAAACATTATTTCAATACTTTAATGCAAAGTTTTTCTTTTTCCAAACTCTAATAATTCATAATACTTTTGTAATTATTAACCATGTATAGAATAGACATCCCAAGGTTTTATTTATTTATTTAAAGATTAGATGATTTTTAAAAAGTATTTTATTTATTATCAATAAAAAATTTAAATCCAAAAGTAGAGTTAGTGTGATAATATCGTATTCTTTAAGATATATGAGAAATGTGATAAGATATAGTTTTAATATAATGGTCTGATTTATTTATTTTTTGAATAACAAATATGAATCGATTATTTCAAAGAATCGTTATGAGACGAATTATTTTATCTAATTTATATTATTTATTATACAATGATAGATCTAAAAATATTTTTTAGAATAAGTACACATGAGTTAGTAGCAGAAGAATTTTTTAATGGGTGCGTACAATTAAAATTTCAGGATGAATATCATCAGTAAAATGATTATTCATTGTCAAATAATTATAACTCTTTAGAACATATACTATTACTTGTCAGCATCTTAAATTAATTAAAAAATGAGTATTAATCAAATTAAATTTTTGAACATTTCGATTTTAATCATCCAATTTTTTTTTGTCAATCTTGATTAATTAGATGTGATATTATATGTTCTAAAAACTCTAAATTATTTAGTAATAAACATTCAAATATGTTACAGTCATCGTTGTTCGAATCCGATACCTCAAATAATTTATAATGTATAGCCATAATAAAATTTAAACCAATGTAAAGTCGTACTGAAATAACAAAGAGGTGGTAAATGGGGAAGCTTCGGCGTTGGTCACTTTGTTATTGTGAACTTTCATCGTTGTATATGAATTATCGAATCTCGTGACATTGTTTCATGCCCCCGAAACGCAAAATAGTATCTAGGGAAAATTATGTATTTAATACCTTAATTATAAGTTTTGATCTGTTTTAGTACTTAAACTTCATTTTGTTTTCAAAATCATGCCTAAACTTTAGTTTTGTTTCATTTTAGAACTCACCGTTACAAACTTAATGCATTTAGTGCCTAAACTATCAGTCTTGGTCTGTTTTAATACTTAAACTTTTTTTTTCTTTCAAAACTTAACTTTTAAATTTTGAACGGGGTACTAAAATGAGACATAAACTAAAATTTTTATGATGAGGTTCTAAATGAAACAAAAACTAAATTTTTGGTATGATTGTTTAAAAAAATAAAAATTTAGGTACTAAAACAAACTAAAATTAATAGTATAAGTACTAAATATAATTTACCATAATATTTGTTACTTTGTAGCTTTATAAAAAAATATAATAAATTGCACCAACCAAAAGACTCTAATGGTATAAAAAAATCATTTATTCCTTGAAGTCTCGAGTTCGAACATAAAAAATGTGTGAGATTTTAACGTTAAATGATCGAAAGTTATATTCAAATAGATATTGTATTGCATTTATCGTAAACTAATAAAAGAAAGAGTAATTTTTGATCGTAAAACGTGTGGACTACCCTTGTTTTTGTTGTTTCTCGATCGGCTGTTTCTATATTGACTCGGACAAACAATTTTTTTTTTATCAAAACAATATGTATTCAAATTCTACGTTAATCCAGAATATTGTTAATCTACCTAAGAAGGTGCTTTAATTAATTAATTAATTAATTAATTACTGTAGTCCACGCCACGATAAGTGATAGCCTCAAATCTTGCTATATTATTTGATGATTTCACATACAGGTTTATATTAAAATCTTAAATTACAAATTAAATAAAAATTTAAATTTACTTAAAATAATTATGATATTTGAAAAACTTATATAAATCTCTATGGGATTGATTCTTTCCCATTAGCATCTTCTATTCCTCTCGTTCACTGTTGTTATATTCTGAGTCATAAAAAGTAGCCAAAATATGAAGAAATGAGAATCAAGGTTGTTCTTGAGCTTATTACCATCGTTTTCGTTCTTGATTGAATCTTCATCATCGTCTCCAAGCTGCTCATTTAATATAATGGCCGTTCAAGCTCAATACCCTTCAAATGTCATTTTAAACAGGTTCATCCTGGTCTGTCATGTCTCTTTCTTTGTTTGCTTATCATTTCTGAGCCAGTCAGTGTTCTTGTATTTGCAGAAATGGAGGAGAGGAGAATGAGTGCCCATTGCAGACGCAAGCAGGAGGAGTTTCTCTTGATCAATCCCATATGTTTTTCAACAACGATTCCGGATATAATAATCAACGGAGAAGAGGGAGAGAAGTTGCGATGGCGGCGATAACTGCGACGCCGATGAATTCGTATTCTTTGCAGACTCAGTTGATCGACGTTTCTCAGCTACCCCAGCCGAATGTAGTATCCACCGGCCTCCGTTTATCTTTTGACGACCGGCAACAAAAATTGCAGAAAATTGTGCCTATGGCGTCTGATGAATTGGTTACCCAGATCAAACGACAGAGAGATGAATTAGACTATTTTCTTCAATCCCAGGTACTGGTTCTCTCTCAAATTGGGTTTTGGTTCAATTTTTTATTCTGGGAAATGTGAAGTTGTAATTTGGTTTGGCTGTTTTCGTTAGGGGGAAGAATTACGACGTACTTTAGCGGAAAAAAGGCAGAGACACTACCGTGCACTACTGGAGGCGGCGGAAGAATCGGCGGTGAGGAGTTTAAGAGAGAAGGAAGCGGAAGTGGAGAAGGCAAAGAGGCTGAACGTGGAGTTAGAGGCACGGGCGGCGCAGCTCAGCGTGGACTCACAGGTTTGGCAGACGAAAGCCAGGACACAGGAGGTGACAGCGGCTTCCTTACAAGAAAAGCTCCAACAGGCTATAATGAGCGGTGGAGGAGCTGCTGTTACACGGGATAGCATGAGAGGAGAGGAAGGGCGAAAGTGCGCCGGCGGAGGATTGCAGACGCAGGTGGACGACGAAGAGTCGGCTTACGTGGACCCGGAAAGAGTGGCCGCTTCGGGTCCGCTGTGCAAGGCTTGTTGGATGCGCGTCGCGGCGGTGGTGTTGCTGCCGTGCCGGCATTTTTGCTTATGTACGGAGTGTGACCGACTGGCTCAAGCCTGCCCGATTTGCCTCACTGTCACGCGTTCTAGCGTCGAGGTTTTTCTTTCTTGAAGACAGGTTAAAAAATGAAAATTACAAGTTTTATCACTGAACTTTACTCTTTATCCTATTTTTCTCACTAAACTTTATTAGTTTTTAATTTACTCACTGAACTTAATACATTAGATACTTTTGGTCATTGAATTTGACTCTTTCTCCTATTTTGGTTACTCCATTGTTTAAAGTTAAGGACATTAAAAAAAATCCATTTTAAAAAAAATTAACGATGGAGTGATTAAAAAATCTAATGTATTAAATTTAATGAGAAAATTTAAAAAAATTAAAGTATAATAAATCAATACGAGAGAGAGAGAAGTTTACCCTTTCTCTTAATTTTACTTTTATTATGGTTGTTTTACTCCAGAGCCGGAAGATTTTACCCTTTCTCTTAATTTTACTTTTACTTGGTTCTCCCTCTTGGAGGTAATGTACATGGTCACTTGGGCGGTGACATTGTTTTTCATCTCCTTTCTTTTATTTAATTAATAATATAAACATTCTTTTATTTGATAAATCAATTGATTTTATTTATCTTTTATCATTTTACTTTTGGAATGGTAAATCGGATGGTAGAATAATTAAATTCCATAAATTAAAATATCACATAAACTACATTTTCTATGTTTGAAGAGTACAAAGATTTAGGACCAGATTGAAATAAAAATTCAAATGTAACGTAACTCTCTCTATATTTACCAAGTTCCCCATTAACCATCTTCTATTCTTCTTAATATATCATAATAAACCTTTCCGAAATCTTCAATTAAGCATAAAATAGGGTTTATATGTATAATTATAGATTATAGATGATAAGATCAAGTTTTATATATAGTTATATATTACAACAATATTTTATTTACAATATTCGCCAAATTAAATTAAACACAGTTAATTTTAGTCACCAAAGCACAAATCTTTTCCCTATTAAAAAAAACTACTCGTCGGGTTTCTTCTTCACCCCTCTCATCTTCTAGTTGATTCCTCTTTCGGTTTCCTTCGATCGCCATAGCCATGGAAGCCGGATGTTCAGGCAGAAGGCGTTGCCGATCCCATAAGCTGCGAAATGGGTTTTTCTCCAGATTTCTTTGTTACACAAGGAACAGCAGTGGTGATGAAGATCGCATAAGCCCCAAGAAGAGTCTGTCTTCTACTTCTTCTTCTTCGGTTTCTTTAAGGTCGTACGATCGTGGCGGATCCGAAGAACGCCAACCCCATTTCTTGGAAGCTTGTTTCCTCTGCAAGGAGCCTCTCAGGTGGAACACAGATATATTCATGTATAGGTTCGTGTCGTGTTTTAACGTGTCTTGTTTGAGCTTCTTATCGTTCTGGTAATATAAAGGGTGTCGTCTTCTTCGAGATGTTTTTTTTAATGTGCAGAGGGGACACGCCGTTTTGTAGTGAAGAATGCAGATACAAACAGATAGTGATTGATGAGGTTAATGAGAAGAGATTGAAGCTTTCTGCAACACCAAAAGCTTTGCGTACAGGCACTGCGGTTGCTGCCTGAGATCGATCACCTTATGATAATCATATACAAATGGTGGAAATCCATGGAGGAAAGAAGAGGGAGGAAGAAGAAGGAAAAATAACACAATTTTCCAATTTTTTATTCAGTTTTAACTGTAAAATATCATGTATTGATTTTATTTTGTTTCACCTTAAGATCCTCGTAATAGTTCTCAGATTTGTTTTCATGATTCAATTTCGTCAAGTTATATGTATCATATTTGTCTTTTTTTTCTTAATGAATTTAAAGTACATCGACTCCCGAGGACCGAATCCTTACATCGGGTTCATAAGAGAGAAGAATGCTGAGAAATTGAAGGAGGCTGCTCTTGCACAGAAGATTTGTCCTGAGTCCATGAACAAGAAGTATACATATAAACACATGGAGTTTCAACGCATTATATACAAAGAAAACCATAAATAAAGAAGGAAGAAAACAACAGTCCATTATGTTATATACACTCATGCAAAATTAGCAGCAGCAGATGGGTAGAAACAAAATAAAACGATTGAATCTCCAAAAACTTATGGAGATTTCCTTCAAGATTGAATCAGTAGAATTCATCTTTTCTATGTATGCAATCAGTAGAGCACTAGCAGGAAGATAAGATTTGCAATAAAATCTTTCAACTTTAAAACAAAAATTACCCATTTAGCAATTTCAGTGCATGGTGAGACCAAATTTCTGTACAAGATTTTGCATATTAGCAACAATGGCCAAACTATTACTAAGAGATTCTTTAAAGGTTCGAGCTTGGGATTTGATTTCTTCACCAGCCGTCCATCCGGTCTCTTCCAGCCCATCATTACACGTGTCCTGATCGGTCATAGCAGAACTGATCCAAGTCTGGATATCACTGATCTTCTCCATGGTCAACTGAGATTTCATTGCAGAGACTGAGTCGTTGAGTCGATTGATGGCGTCATCGAACAGGGTCAAGCAGTCTTTCAAAGCGGGCTGAGAGTGGAGATCGTTGAGGGAGCTGAACGAGGAAGAGAGATTCGAGAGATGGGTGATGGACACTCGGAGGGAGAGGTGGAGGAAGGCTTCTGGGTCGGGGCTTTTGGAGGCGTTGAGAGGAGAAAGAGCGGCGAAGCACGACTCGGGGTAGCGGGTCACGTTGCAGATGGTGCTGATTGAGTCAGCTGAGCCGGTGGGGTTTTTGTCTTCCAGCTTCGAAGCAGCAAGGGTCCAGGCGGTGACAAAAGTGAAGATGAGAACAGCAGAGACGATGATGATGACGGCGGTTGAGGAACGCCGTGGGGAGGTTTTTGGGTGAGGGTATTGATGTTCGAGGTGGCTTTGACTTATTTTCTCATAGCCTTTCAAGTGGTTAACGGAAGCCATTGTTGAGCTTCGTCTTCTTCTCGGGGGTTTTCAAGACGGTGGATTGGAGGATAAGTTTTGCAATGTTCTTTATTCTTGCGTTTACTTTTCTATAGTTTAGCAGGCAGCACCTGTGGGGTTTTTTTAGGGCGGTGGATATAGACTATACCTATAATAATATATTTGAGATAAACTTAATAAAATGATTAATTATAAAATAAGTAACTAAATTATATCACGTTAAATTATTATTTGAATGATTTTAGTACATAATGTTAAAAATATTATTATTTTTTGTGTTAGGACCGTTAATGGCATTAATTTCTTTCGTTATATTACACATGTCTCATTCTTATAATTTTAAAAATTTTATTTAAAATTAAAAACTTATATATATATTGAAATAACCTATAAACTTTGAAAACATTTATTTTAACCCCTAAACTCATGACAATCGTCGCTTTTGCCATTAACGAAGCTCCACCCGACCTTACATCCCCCGACAATCAAAACCCTTATAAAATCATGACCAATCAACGATGAATCAAAGTTTTATACCTTACGAACCCTAGGATAAAAATCGTTATTCCGACAGTCAATCAGTGGAAACTACGTCGACGTATGAACAGGAGGATAACAGAGATCACGTCGAGGGCGACGGTCATGACCAAAAAGGATAACGGTGATGGTTTAAGGTTAAAATTAAGAGATTTTAGGATTTTTTTGTAATTTAAAAGAAATTACGATTCTTTTATAAATATAATAACTTTTTAAATTTTTTAAAAACAAAATTATCAAATTACGACACATGTAACTTGACGGAGAAATTATTGTCATTGATGGTCCGAGCACCTAAAGTTAGGGGTGTTCAAAAAAAACCCGAAACCGCTACCGTTAAACGATTATAACCTTTATATTTAACAATTAATTAACTGAACCGTTAATACTAAACAATTTCGGTTAACCAAACCGCTAAAAATGATGGTTAATGATTAAGATTACGATTAGAAATTTTGATAAACAGTTAATTGTTCTTATCCGTTAATAAATTAAATTTATAATTATATTTCTAATTTATTATATTTTTACACAAATAACTTGATATAAGTTTCTATTATTTATAATTTTTATATATTATTTATAATTTTTATATATTTTTTTATTTTTTATTTATTTGAAAATATGGAAACATACTTACACTAAGTACTAAGATTTTAAGAAATGTACATACTTACACTGGTATAAGTACGTGTTAAGTGTTATATTTTTTTGTAGTATGAATTATGAAAAAAAATTGACAAATAATTGTAATAGGTGGCTAACCTCTAACCGATCCATTAATAACGATTAACTGTTAGCAGTTAACCGATTCTTAATGGTTAAGTTATGATTAAAAAAATCTCATAAATGTTATAATAGTTAACCGACCGTTTAGACTAAATGGTACGGTTAACCGTTCATGAACAACATACCTAAAGTGGTAATATTTATAACATTAGACACCAAAATCATTAAAAAAAACAATTCAGATACCTATTCGTGAAAAACACTGTAGTTTAACAATTATTTTATAAGTAAACCTTAATCAAATTTGATTAGTATTATTCAATTATCTAAAACCTAAATTCTATCATTTAGATTAGCATCATAATGCAGGATACTTCAAAACTCATACTATTAATCTGGGACAACAAATTAATAATGTCTAACAATATTATTATTAATCCAGAACCACCGAGACATTACTTTCTACATCCTAACAGCCCCCGTCACTTACTCTTCATCTTCTTCGTCTCCATCTCCGCCGGTAGCCTTCTTGGCGGCAGCCCTCTGGTTCCTTCTCTTCACTCTTCCGGGACGTCCGATGCCAAAGGGACTAGTGAGGGAGAAATCGATGTGCTTTTGCGAATCAACCCTCACCATAAATGAGGGAATGTTGACTACCTGCCTTCCAACCCTGTAAGATCAGGGGAAATCGAGCCGAATTTCGATCAGCAAATGATGGATACAAACAGAAATAGAATTGAATCGAAACATACGTAAAATGGCGTTTACGTACCACCTATATCTAATGATCTAACAATGATCAAGCGAGCATAATTTATGTATCTAGACATGAAACATGCTGGAGAAAAGTCGAAATAGTAGTCCTACGAAACTGTCAGCGAAAAAAGGTTCGACATGGCCACCTGATATGCCTTTGCCTGATGAGCACTCGTGCATGGTGGATGGATTTGGCCAATACATAATCGAGCTTGTTCTGGCTCTAGTCGAGGAGTCCATACCGATTCATCCTACGAAGGAGGGCCTCGCCCTCGAAGATCCGACGCGGGTTCTTCTCGTCGAGGGTCAGGAGATCCCTAGCAGCATTTCTGATGCGGCTCAATGCATACTGAACTCTCCAAAGCTCCCTATTGCATCGCAGCCCGTACTCTCCAACCCGCCTCAGCTCGGCATCCAATCGGTCCTTCTCGTAAGGACGACGAGGCTTCTTAAATGTCTTCCCATCTGTTACCATTCACGGCATCACAGAGAGAAACAAATCATAATCCAAAAAACAACCATTTAGCAAATCGATCAAAACCAATTCAGCTGAAAGCACCCAATTTCATTAGAACAATGACGACCCAAGAAACCCTAGATCCTCTCCTCCATTCAACCCTCCATTAACCGTGCAAATGTAACTAAAATCACAAACTAAAAGAAACCGAGCTTCTCTTCTTCCAAAGCAAGAAAAACCAACAAAGAATTAACCCCAAAAAAGTGGTGGGGATAAGGACAAGATCTATGAAAAATACCCAAAGCATATCAAAGCTCAAACAAATGCTTGTTAAATAAAGGAGAAGAAAAAGCTTACAATTGCGGTAAAAGGAGACGTGAACCATGGTTTTTGAGCAGAGGCCCCGTTTCTCTTTAACGCTGTGGCGCCGCTAATTGCATCTAACAAAGGGTAGAAATGATCTTATAAGGCAACCCTAAACGAAGGGATTTACTTAAATTGGTCTATTTTCTCTTTAGGCCCAAATCAAAAACAAAGAGTTCAATAAACCCATTTTCCCCCTCGTGGAAGTATTCATATCCAAATCTCAATGAATTTCTTTTGATTGTGAAATGTTTTTGTTGGACTTGAAAAAAAAACATAAATTAATTATTTAATTATTTTATAAATGCATAGTTAATTGTGATGGTACCTTCATTGATCCGGTAAAAATTAAAATTAAATTGAATTCATCCAATAAACTTACAAAACATGCTATTAGCGCATATCCTAGGATAGGCATGGTACCCGAACCCGATAGGATCACTCAACCCAATCGAATCAGGTTTTTTTAAAAAAAAAGAAAAATTAAAGTTCGAGTAATTTTTTAAAAAAGGTGATGTTCAAATCAGGTCAAATTCGAATTTAAAGTGAAAAATACCCTACTCGACCCAAAAAAATATAATTTTACTTTATATGTTTAGAGATAATTACAATAATACCGCTCTATATTTTATTTTTTCAATTAAATCTCTTTTTTTATTGAATAAAAATAATATTTTATTATTATTTCGAGTCAGATCCGGATTTTATCTCAAAAAGTCAAGTCGAGTGAAGGGTATAGATTTCTCGTGTCGGGTTAGATTGAAGGGGTAAAATTTTTATATCGGGTCAGGTTGGCCGAAACTCGGCCCGTGCCTATCTCTAATTTCACCCACTACAAGAAAAAATGTACAAGCTTGGCTTGGGTTTTCTATCATCAAAGTTTTGTCACTCATTCCTAATGGCTGATTACACCCCAAGAAGTTTAGAAGGCCATGTATCCGCAAGGGTCGGATATCGAGCATGTAGTTTCTGGATAATGGAGTTCGGTTTAGAGGCAGCTTGTGTCTCCGGATCGAGCATAGGATATCTCTGGATGTCGGGACTCAGGGGAACGACGAGGAGAGTCGATGGTTGTTGCAGAGCAGGTTCGACAGCAAGCAAATCGGGATGATTTTCGTGAAAGTGCAAGGACAATTGGGCTTGCTGAAAGTTGGGTGGAGGATCGCTCCGGTCGGATTGAGCCGCCTTTTTCCCTATATCACTTCGCAGCTCCTGGATTTGAGTTTCTAGGGTTGAATTCTCCTCCTCCAGCTCATTCTTCTCAACGTTCACCTCTCTGACGTATATTCAAAAACATGGATGCAAGGATATCCAGCATTCATTCCCGAGAGGGATTAACCAAAATTAACAAAGACATGATCAGGAGTATTACATAGTGAGATTCGGATAACAAAGAAGAATTTTCCTTTTTGAGGGACTCGATTAGGAAGAATAAGTCCTTTAACAGTCGAGTTGCTTCGCACAGAATAGAGGCCTTCCCATTGTTCGGTTGATTCGGATCTGCACAAAGAATTTTCCCAAATTCAGATATACCATCATCTATGAACACAAAAAAGAACCAACTTTGCAAACAGAAACCGAATACGATCATAACCGAGAATTATTTCTACAATACCGTCAAAACAAGTTCTAGTAGGTCTTAAAGATCGAATGATCGATAAAATGGACTTAGGACATTACCGAGAGCATTCGCCAAGTCAAGGAAGAGCTCGTTCAAATGCTCACGCTTGAGCTTCTCCCTCTCAGCCTTGTGAATTGTTTAAGGAGCCTTTCCCTTGGTCTTCCAAGTACAAGACCTGCATCACAAAAAACAGTGTTCAGGCAAGCCAAACTCGCAGCATATTTTCATTGGCACTTCTGAATATGCCTAAATGCACGTTAGCTAAAATCCCATTCCTAGTAACTAAGTCACTAAGACTCGAATTCAAGAGTAACGAGCGTACGGATACTACTTCGACACCAACATATCCATATTCCAATGTTCACCATGGTGGATGATATTTCCTATATCAGACAAGGATTCGAAAAAACGAAGAATCAGAGCAACATATCCTATATGCTGTTATGCACAACAATTACTAAACATTAGCTATCCGAAAGGCTCGAAAATCTTTGAATCTGAAAACTCCAAAGAGTTAAGGCTTAGCCCCGGAACTCATATTTATCAAATTTTCCTATGTATCTAGAGATCATTGGAGGACATATCCCGATACACAGGTGCCGATACTACAGAGAAACATAACCCATGAAATGAATTCAGACACAAACCAGGAAATTACAGAACAGAAAAGGTAACTAAGGTTGTGCTTCCTAAGAAGTTTCAAACACTAACCTGCCAACAGATGTCTTCAATGCTGCATTTGTCTGCGCAACCAATGGAGCTGGAATCTCAGAACCCATGTTTTATCAGCAAATATTTACCTAAAAGCACCAAGAAATTAACAAATTCGAAATCAATTAATCAAAAAAGGGTTTCCTTGATTATCACAACAATAATAACAAACAGGGATTCCATCAAAAAATACTGGAGTTTTGGATCAAACAAACAAATAAGATTCAGACAATGAAAGGGAAACTTCAAAATCATGAAATTACAACCCAAATCAAAACCAAAGGCACATCAAAGCCCAGTTCAAGAGAAGATAAAGATTGTGGAACAGCCTTTGAACAATAGAAACGCGTGGATTTAGCAGTCCGACTGGGCCTAATTGCATGTACTTTATATAATTTAGGCTATGACCCAAAGCCTCGAGCATTGAAGTGTTCCAGCATTTGGGCCACATACTTCTTTGTTAGTTATGGTTTTGAACTTAAATTTTCGGTCCAAATCAATACTTACCATAAATGAGTTATTTCAATCATGAATTTAAATTTAGATATTAATTCGAACTAAAAATTAAATTTAAATACTTAATTGAAAAAAAAAAACAAATCACAGCTTGAAGCAAAGTTAATGTACCAAAATATATATTTACCCTAATATACTATCGGTGCGGAGCTACAGTTTGGTTAAGTGGACACATATCTAATCTAAAATCCAATTTTTTTTATTAATTACTTATTTTAGTAATAGTGTTCATCCTGAAATGTGAATTTTCTTCGATTAGTTACATATTTTACAGACAGTTTATACCCTAAAATTTTATTTGTACTCATTATATTTTAAAATTTTATGTTATTAACATATGTGTTCCCACTATAAAATTTATTTTTTAGATCCGCTACAGTATATTATACGATTCGATATTGATTTTGTTGGCAACGGGCAGCAAACAAACATTACACATGCAATTGCGAACTCAAATAACTAAGCTTTCACTGTTTGCCACCTTCCACTTTTGATTGCTACTTTATATCACGTGAGATGTCTTTCATTTTTTGGTAAAGCACATAATTGGTCCCCTGACTATCTAATATTGTTTTATTAAGTCCACTAACTATTAAAAGTTACAAAATGGTCGTCAGTCAACATGACTATCATATTTCATTCAGCATGTTAACGTCCAAAACGAAAAATGACGAGTTTAGAATATAATGAATAGTCGAGTGACCATTTTGTAACTTTTAATAGTCAAGTGACTCAACAAAACAACTCTCTATAGTCGAGGGACCATTTTATAACTTTTACTAGTCAAGAGACTCATTAAAGTAATATCCTATAGTCAGGGATTATTTGTGTACTTTACCTTTTTCTATATATTTTTATTTTAAAGATAGATTCTTAAGAATTTAAGTCAACAAGTATTTTTTAAGATATAAAGACATATTTTTGACAATTATTTTTAAAAAATCGTAATCTCAAAATTTATTCATGTATTATGTTAACATATAAAAAAATGGAGCAATTTGTAAAAGGTTATTGAAAAATATATAATTTTAAAAATAATTACGTCGTAATTATGCAATTGAAAGATGGACTTCGTCCCATAAAATTAATATATAACTTCCAAGTCCACACACTGGACGAATGGTATTATGTACCACTCTATTATAAAAAAAAAAAGAGTAGAGGGGTAAAATTCGTAAAATTGTTGAGAATTTTCCATAAATTTTACTATAGCAATGTTTGGACCGAAGAATCAATGATTAATTAATATGTTATATTATATATTTTTTACATTAACGATAAAATCAACCGAATTCAGAAGTTTTTTATATTAGTACGAGGCAAGTACAATGTAGTATTTGTTCAAAGATAACTCTCAATCATATGTTATTAAACGCTCACACAATCACACCCCTAATATTCATGGTGTTCGTACTAAAGACATCAAATAATGATAATAATTTATTTACTATTGAGTTTCTTGGTTCGTGCTCGAATTCAAAGGTTAAGTGACGCTTTATGTCCCCCGAATAAAAAGAGGAATAAATCCTAATTAGGACTAGAGGAAGGGACTAAGAGATCTTATGGGGCCTAATAAGGGCATTGAAAAATGGAATTAAGGAAACCTTATGGACCAAAATTAAAGGAATTTGTTGATTGTTATCACCCACTAAGCAAGCACAAAATGACTAATTTACAAGACCCAAAAAACCCTTACCCACTTGCTTGAGCGCTGTTGGGATACACAGGTTGAGAGGGTGTAATCATGCCACTTCAATAGATCTTGATAAGGATCCTAAATGTAATTATAAAAAACATTTTTTTATAAAATATAATATACCTTAAAAAGAATAAAAAATAAATATACCAAAACGAAATCAGGTATTTTGTGTACATAGAACTTAATTTTTTTTTTTAAATTTGAAATAATTTAAATTAAATAATTTATTTTTTAAAAAGTAAAAATATAAACAGGAATGTGGAGTCCACGTGCACCCATAATGTACCATGCAGACAAGTTTCTCTTAGATGAGGCTTTAAATTTTGACAGCATTTCCCTACACAGAAACATTTTACCCATTGGGACATTAATGCTAAATCACGTGCCTGCATTAATTGGATCCAACAATTTACATGCTACTCTCGTACCCTGTTTTATTACCATGCAGGCATGCACCAATCCTAGTTTTACACTTCAACATATATATCCCCAAACTATGACTCGTTTCAAATTAGTCCTTAAACTTTTAAACATTTCAATTTCATCCTCAAACTATGACTCTCATTTTAAGTTAGTCCTTAAACTTTTGAACATTTGAATTTCATTCCCAGGCTATGAATCTTGGTCTAAACTGGCACATAAACTTTTAGATCTTCCAATTTCATCCATGAATTCATCCAAACATGTAATCCATTCCAGCCATAGTTTAACCTATTTTTTTTCAAACATATAATAGTGTAACTTGACTAATGATTTTATTAACAAGAGTTGTGATTAGTATATACGAATAATTTAGGATAATATTAAAATATTCAAAAAGTTTGGGGACCAACTAGAAAGAAGATCTCATCTTGGGCATCGAAATTAAATTTTCAAAAGTTTGAGGACTAATTTAGAATGATAGTCATGGTTCATGGATGAAATTGAAATGTTTAAAAGTTTAAAAACTAATTTAAAATTAGGGTCATAGATTAGGGATGCATGATCAATTAACTATATATATAATTTTTTCTAATACAATTTTTAACAATTTGATCAAAATATTTCATTTTATCATTTTTTCTTAATACAAAAATAAGTGTTCAATTTATGTCTCGAAAAACATTTTAGTGCCTGAAGAATTTTTCGCTAAAAATAGGTGTCTAACATTTTTTTCGGTTATAATTTTAGGTGCCTATAATTTAATTTTTCATTTTTAATAATAAAAATATTTTTTAATTAAAATTAAAAAAAATTAATTTATTTACAAAAAATCTAACTTTTTACTAAAAATATTTTTAAAAACCTGGAAAATAAAATAAAATCTCTCATTTCAATCCCATTATCAATCGTCGCCGACCATCTCCCCACACCATCGTCATTGTTGAATAGTCATTCACCCGTCGCCACCCACCTATTGATCATCTGTCGTCTTAGACCCAAAATCCCTAAATTTAAAATCTACAATATCAAAATCTCCTATTCCTAATTTTAATTGTTTAACCCAAACGATCTTCGAACCACCATCGTCGTCATCGAATGGCTAAGTTTTGATCGAAATTGCACGGTGATTCGAATGATGGCAGAGGTGTGGCTTATGGACGTCATAATCGACCGATATCGACGAAGAATGGCGAAGGTGGCTTAAAAATCGATGAACCTTTGAACGCTTCTCTACGACAAACAATGACATGTTACAACGAAAGGTCAACTGGATTTGATCGGGACTCGATGTTGATACCGATAATGGTCACCGCCGACCAACCGTCATAGAAGGGGAAACGGGAAACATGAGAAAGGGGTTGTTTCTTTTACAAAAAAAACATTTGTATATTTTAATTTAAAAATCCTCAAAATTATCAAAGTGCCGCTTAACAGAGATATTTAACGACAATCAACATCCATGCACCTAAAAGTATAACATTGAAAACATTAGGCACCTATTATTAGCGACAAATTCTTTAGGCACTAAAACATTTTTTGATGCATAATTTGGAAACTTATTTTTTTATTTAAGCATTTTTTAATTGTCTAGAATGATTACAATGTAGTATTTATTCAAAATTATTTTTATCCACTAATAATACACACATATCCTACAAACACAACAGTTTAAATTCGATACTTCCAAAGAAAACATTACTCCGTTTTACTAACGAGGATCTAAGTTAATTTGATGAGTCTATATGTTTCATTCATTTTTTTCATATTTATGAAATTTTAAGCAAGTTAAAAATGTATAATAATTTATTTGATAGAGACAATTTTATTGATAGATGTAATATTGCTGTAA